ACACACACACACACACACACACACACACACACACACACACACACACAAAACCACTGTATAAGAATGTTCCCAGTGCTTTTTTAGCGCCATCTGCTCGCGGCGCCGCCTCCTGCTCCTCCCGCCGCCTCCTGCTCCTCCCGCCGCCTCCTGCTCCTCCCGCCGCCTCCTGCTCCTCCCGCCGCCTCCTGCTCCTCCCGCCGCCGCTGCTGCCCTGAGTCACTGCCTGCGCAGCTCCGGCCGCCTAGCTCCCCATACTAGCCGCCGATATTTGGAGTTCTTACAACATGGCAGACATTGACAACAAAGAACAGTCTGAACTTGATCAAGATTTGGATGATGTTGAAGAAGTAGAAGAAGAAGAAACTGGTGAAGAAGCAAAAATCAAAGCACGTCAGCTAACTGTTCAGATGATGCAAAATCCTCAGATTCTTGCAGCCCTTCAAGAAAGACTTGATGGTCTGGTAGAAACACCAACAGGATACATTGAAAGCCTGCCTAGGGTAGTTAAAAGACGAGTGAATGCTCTCAAAAACCTGCAAGTTAAATGTGCACAGATAGAAGCCAAATTCTATGAGGAAGTTCACGATCTTGAAAGGAAGTATGCTGTTCTCTATCAGCCTCTATTTGATAAGCGATTTGAGATTATTAATGCAATTTATGAACCTACGGAAGAAGAATGTGAATGGAAACCAGATGAAGAAGATGAGATTTCGGAGGAATTGAAAGAAAAGGCCAAGATTGAAGATGAGAAAAAGGATGAAGAAAAAGAAGACCCCAAAGGAATTCCTGAATTTTGGTTAACTGTTTTTAAGAATGTTGACTTGCTCAGTGATATGGTTCAGGAACATGATGAACCTATTCTGAAGCACTTGAAAGATATTAAAGTGAAGTTCTCAGATGCTGGCCAGCCCATGAGTTTTGTCTTAGAATTTCACTTTGAGCCCAATGAATATTTTACAAATGAAGTGCTGACAAAGACATATAGGATGAGGTCAGAACCAGATGATTCTGATGCCTTTTCTTTTGATGGACCAGAAATTATGGGTTGTACGGGGTGCCAGATAGATTGGAAAAAAGGAAAGAATGTCACTTTGAAAACCATCAAGAAGAAGCAGAAACACAAGGGATGCGGGACAGTTCGTACTGTGACAAAAACAGTTTCCAATGACTCTTTCTTTAATTTTTTTGCCCCTCCTGAAGTTCCCGAGAGTGGAGATCTGGATGATGATGCTGAAGCTATCCTTGCTGCAGACTTCGAAATTGGTCACTTTTTACGTGAACGTATAATCCCAAGATCAGTGTTATACTTTACTGGAGAAGCTATTGAAGATGATGATGATGATTATGATGAAGAAAGTGAAGAAGCGGATGAGGTAATGTTTACCAAATGAGCATATATGTTTAACAATTGAGAAGCAAATTGAATGACTTATGTATTCCTTTGCTATAATCATTCTGTGATTTGGGATAAAAAACATTTTGGAAAATATGATTTTAGAATTCTACAGCCAAACAATGTATGTATAAGGTTTCAATAAATAAATTGCAAAACTCAAAAAAAAAAAAAAAGAATGTTCCCAGTAGCTTTATTTATGATAAGTAAAACTGTGAAGCAACTCAAATGATCATCAGCAGGTGAACAAATAAATAAGTGGTGGCATATCCCTACAATGGAGTACTACTCACCAATGAAAAGGAATAAACGATTGTTACATTCAACATTATTGATGGATCTCAAAATACGCTGAGTGAAAGGAGCCAGCCAACATAGGGTACATACTGTATGATTCCACTTACATAAAATTCTGGAAAATGCAACCTAATCTATAGTGGCAGAAAGGAAATCCATGGTTTCAACAAGTTAGCAGCTTATGGAGAAACAGAAGAGAGAGATTACAAAGGAGCATGAGGAAAATTTGGGGCTTGCCAGATATGTTCATTTTCTTAACTGCAGTAATGACTTGCCAGGTATATACATATGTCAAAACTTATCAAATTGCCTACTTTAAATATGTGTTTATTGTATGTTGATTATATCTCAAAGTTGTTTAAAAATTTTACTATGCTTTTTTCATAAAAAATCATAAACAATATAATGAACATCTATGTATTAACCCAGCTTAAAATAAATTATTAAAAATATATTTGAAGCTCCCAAAATATATCTTTTGTACTAAGGAGAGGATCTCACCGCATCTTTAATGAGGAGGACCTGCAGAGATCACAGAATCTCACATTTCCCTTTTGCAAATGTGTACAACAAATAATATCTAGTTCTCATCCAGTCATTTCCTACAAATTCTTTTGCCATCTTCACATGATGTCAAGCTCAAGAACTTTCTCTGGGTGGTGGCAAATAGAGAGCCCCTTTATCTAACTACAGAGACCTCATCCCGATTCAAAAGAAATGTGTTTGAATTAGCTCCCACAGTGCATAGATAGGGCATTGCTCTGCTCCACGAGAGGCGGGTGGGGCAGGATGACTGGGCAAACTCAGGTGCAAGAATGGCTCTTTTTACTTCCCAGCTGACTGACAAAGGTGGAACACACCCTCCACTTGTGCCTTATCACTCTGAGCCGTCCGTCTTTTCATGCATTATATATTCTCTGTTGGAAGTGACAATGTCTCTGCTGGACAAGAAAAAAGGAGTTCAGCCTGTCAGCAGTATAGTGAGAAGTAAAAGCATTTCACAAGTTCCGATGTTATCTTAGCAATTGCTTTTCTAAATATTTTGCAATAGTACAATAAGAAAGGCCTTTTTCCACAATAATAGAAGAAAGGCCTTTTTATAAAATGTTATAACCCAAAAAAAATCAAAGAATGTCAGGCTGAAATGGGAAGAATATACCCTGCCCTAAAATTAATCTTTAGGCATAAAATAAGCAGATTTCTAAGCAATTATAGCTATTACAGAAAATTTCAGCATGTGGAATTTTGTGGGGCCTCACAGACCACCATGATCAAGACCCTCACATTACAATTAAGGAACAGAGGCATGATTGCTTTATTGTCTTCTATTTCAAAAAGCATTCTAAAGCTCTAGATGATCACCTGCATATACATTTTTAAAACTTTCCAACTATAGAACAGTAAGGTTTCAAGAAAGAGACAGTGGGGTGGCTCTCATTCAGTAGGACTAAAGTAAACAATCTATAAAAGCTAATTAAATTTTATTCCACTAAGGGACAAATGAACAACTGCTTCTGATCTAAGTTTTCCCAGTGTTCTTGAAATGGATGCAAAAAAAAGAGATCAGTTGCCTACTCTTTTGCCATTTCACAACTTACACAACACACACGGCCCCATAACCACGTGAAAAATTATTAATGACTCATTGTATAGCCCTGAATCTCATCGCTTCCATAGGCCAGAAAAGCTGACAGGCATGTTGGTTATGAGGGTCTAATGGGATCAACTGTTAGCAAGATAAATGACTTCTTCAACAACACTGCCATAAGAGTAATCGTTCAATGGTAAATGGGTGATCATGCCTCTCTTTAAAACTGCTTTATAATTCTCCAGGCCTTTGGTATAAAGTTTACTTTTCTCTATTTCTCTAAACAAAGCCCTTCATTACCTGTATCCTTTTTTAATAGCCTTATTGAGGTATAACCAATACACAAAATATGGTACATATTTAATATGTATAATTTGATGAATTTAGACATAAGCATACATCCATGACACCATTACCACAATCATAATAACAAATATCCATCACCTCCAAATGTTTCCTTATGTCCCTATGGGTGGTTTTTTTGTTTTTCGGTTTTGTTATGTTTGTTCTGTTTTGTGGTAAGAACACTTAACATGAGATTTGCCCTCTTAATAAATTTTTAAGTACACAATACTGTATTGTTAACTATAGGCACTACGTTGTACAGCAGATCTCAAGAACTTATTATGCTTTCATAACTGTAACTTTATATTCGTTGAAACTGTTTCTTACCTATCTTTCTCAGATCCTTTTCTGTCATCACTACTATGACCACCACCGTCACCACTCTTCATTCTACTCCTGCACCCTGCGTCCCAGTCAAATATTTGAAATTCTCCAATCAAGCCTTTCACACTTTCAAGGCTAGCTCATTTGACTTCCTCTTCCATGAATTTGCCTCTCCTCTTCCTCCATCCCAAGTTTGCCTTGATAAATGCTCATCTGCAGTCACCTTCCAGTAGGGTGCACAGCGATCCCCATCTCCTGGTATTCATACCCATGTGTAATCCCTTCCCTTATGTGTACACTGAGCCTAGTGACCTGCTTCTAATGAACAGACTATGGCAAAAGCGATGGGATGCCATTTTAGAGATTAGATCACAAAAGACCATGGCTTTGGTCTTGCTCATGCTCACTCTCTGCCTCTTCTTCCTTGCTCACTGGAGTAAAACAAGCTGCCGTGTTGTCAGCTGCTCTAAGCAGAAGCCCAGGTAGCCAGAAATTGAGGGAGGACCCAACTGCCAGCAAGTAACCAAGGCCTTCAGTCCAAAAGCCTATGAGGAACCGAATCCTGCAAACAACCATGAGTGAGTTTGGGAACAGATCTTTCCCTGGTCAAGTAGTCAAGATGACTGCAGCCCAGGTGACATGTTGATTGGAGCCTCCTCTATTAACTAGTATCTGCCAGCCTAGAAAAAATTAACTCCTCTCTTCTTTATAACTAGCCATGCCCTGTCCTCCTGCCTCTGTCATAGAATTGTCATGCATGTGCTTATTTGCAGCTTCATCTTTCCCATTCTACTTGAAGCTCTTTGAAATTAGTAACATGTCTTTTAATATCCTATCACAAAGTATGTTTGTGAATAGATAAATGGAAGTAAATTAAATTATAACTTATTTTCAAAATTGAAATTTTTAAAAGATTTACAATTCAAATTTGCTTTCTTACAAATACAGGGAAATATGCTAGAAATTCCAGAGTAGCATAAATTCCTCCCTCTTAGAAATTTTTTTATTATTCAAAGACAACCCTTTACTGACCATATCATTATCCAGTGTGATGAATGTTTAAGATGACTCTTCCTGGGTTGGGCAAAAACTCAATTAAAATGGAAATCATTCAAACTAAACATTCTTAGAAATGAAAATCACCCATGGGTCACAATGAGAATCACCTACTGATCTACTTTGCCTCTTCATAACTACTCAAAGAAGGTCCCTTCTACAAGGAGTTAGATTAGAAGAATAGGAGGTTTGATGAATCCTTCCCCAAGAACAAGCGCATAGGTTAGAAGTCTAACAGGGATTCTAGTAACTTTTTCAAAAGGATATTATAAAATATTTATCAGTGACTATGCTTATTATATATGATACCTCCTATTTTTGTTCATGTTTTGATTACTATTACAATGTATAAAATCAAAAGCCTCTAGACTTATCTTCTAGGAAATAGACTGTGTAGAGTCTATGGGCCACTCTATCACTTTGAGCAACAGAGGGATTGTTTGAGCTGTAGAGAGGCTGAAAATATTAGAGAAGATGAAAAAGAAAGCTAGCTTTCTGAGGCCACTTGCAAGTGAAGAAAGCAAAAATAATCAACTTCCTGCAACTAGGTATCTTGTCTTCCATTTGTTAACAGATCAATCCTATGACACAAAGGTAATAATGCCTTCCCAAGTTATGGTTTTGGAATCCAAGGTTCAGGGGAGTTAAATACTTTGTCCTAAATTGCAAAGATAGTAAATAATAGGATAGTGACTTAAACCCAGTCCTCAATACTTCAGTCTCATCTTCTTTCCTCTTAGACTGTGCCTAAGGTGTTGGTCTAGACTTCAGTTCACATTTCCTTTTCTTTAAGGAGCATTTGTTGAGCAGCTTCCCTGTGGCAAGTTCTTTACCAACAGTGGCCCCATGGGACATGATATGGGATGTCCCAGTAGAAGACTCAGCACCCAGAACAAAACCCAGGCCAGTAGCAGCCCTTATATTTAAGGAATTGTTTTCTCTTGATGGTTTTCCTGTACTATGTAAATGTTTTCATCTATATCCTTGTTATAGGAGAAAAAAAATATTCTAACACAAACAAGATTGATTTTGTCAAGTGTAGGAAACAAGCTAATGGAATGTTTGAGTTAATGGTGCTTCCAACATTAAAATCTATTTAGTGACATACTTTATGGTACAAACTGTGCCCAGAGTAATAATATACTCCCTTGTCTCACATTTATCTACATCAGCATAACATTTGGTAGTGTGGGATTTTAAAATCTAAATAATATCAGTATGAAAATTTGAAATCTCAGTTAAATATCTAGGAGCTCTCAAACATAGATGTTGAGTAGCCATCTGCCAAACCCCTCTCTCTACCTCCCTTACACAAATACAGCACTAGGTACTCAACAAATGGTGATTGATTTAATCTATTAAGTGCTATAGCTGGTGCCTTTCACATACTATCCTAATCAATTTCTTCACCAGCCATGTGAAATAGATGTTAGTACAGCCTCCCCTCAGCTTATGCAGGGTATTGGTTCCAGGACTGCCCACTTATACTTAAATCCCTGCATACTCAAGTCCCATAGTTGCCCTGCAGATCCCACACACAGAAAAAGTCAGCCTTCAGTATATACAGAC